GGTGGCAGCAGAGGAGGGTGCAGAGCAGGCAGAGAAGGGGGGAGCCTGGGCACAGCAGCCTGCTGGCCTCAAAATGCCCGCAGGGATGGTGCCACCTCCTCGCCTTGGGTCTCCCTAGGCTTGGGCTGTGCTGTGGAGAGCAGCTGTGATGCTGTGTCAGCCCTAGGGGACGGGGGAGCATCCAGGCAGGTCTCAGTTCCTGAGTGTGCCACCGTCCCCTGAGCCTCAGAGGTGAATTTTGGGGCTTGCACCCAACAGATGAAGTGTAAATGTGAATACCCCAAAACCATGAGAGCTGCATGACAAGCCAGCAGCCATACCAACCAGTCAACAACAAAAAAAGCCAACGCAATCCAGGGATATACCTTTTTTTTTTTTTTTTTTTAATGTATGTGACAGGATATTTCAGGCAGGGAAGGTGCAGAGATCCTTCCCACGCTCTGTCTGGAAGCAACATCAGAAGCTCAGGTTAGAGATGAGAATGACCAGCAGCAGCGAAATTTCTGACACAGACGTTTTGATACATTTCAGATCTGGGGCTTTGTGTTTGTCTGCAATTTAGCTTCATCTTTTTTTCATGTGTTACTGTGAAAAGCAGAGCTGTGGGGTGGGCTTTTTTTCCCTCCGCATGCTTGGCAAGCTTTTGCTGGTAGGGCAGAGGACTCTGGGTGAAGCACATAGAGACCCCAGAGCTGCAACAAGACAAGGTTAATTCTTCAGCCACGAGGATGCCACCTTACCCGCGGTATAGAAAATATGGGTATTATACTTACCAGCCTGGCACTGGTGGGAAGAGGTTCTTTTGCATGGACACAAACAGGACACTCAACAGCTAGTATCTTTACTGAATGAATTTATTGGTTTTTGAACTAAAGTTGCTCACAGTTATTTAACAAGGGATACATCAGATTTTTTTTTGTCCATTTTAAACCGTTAAATAATGTCAGTTTGTGTCTGTATATGTGTGTGTGCGCGCGTGTGTGTCTTCAAAGTACAAAATAGGAAGGATAACAAGAGGTATTGCTTTCATTTATTCTTATATCTTGTGTAAGTAATCCCCTTCCTGCTTGTACCACATGGGTTTTGCTGATATAGGTATTTTTAAATTATTATTATTATTTTGTATTGAAATCCCAGCCTTTTGTAGAGGTACAATGTAACAGAAGCATCAAAATCTATACACAAGGGAAGAGAAAAGAGGGAAAAGAAGGACGGGGGTGATGGGAGGGGAGCTTGGAGGAGAAGTAGAGAGAGGGCGGAGGCAGGAAAGACAACGAAAGCAAAAGAGACTAATTTACAGCAATGTCATGCAATTAAAACTGCCCCCCTCTCCTGCACCCTTGCCTCCCCCCCTCCCCAGCCATCACTCCCTGGTGTCTGACATGCACACAGCAATACGAGAGAAAAGTTCAAGAATAGGGAAAATAAATAAATAAATAAAACTAAAAATTAAAATAAATCCTTCCCATTTGGGGGAATGGGGAAACAGGGCAAAAGTCAAAGGTCTTTGCCCCAGTGGTGTCTTTAAAAATTCTTTTTAATCTCCAAACCTATGTACAAGTAAAACTGGTCCAAGAAGGGGGAAAACGATGAAAAAAAACGACGACAACAACAACAAAAATAGAACTCATTCAACATTATCATTAAAAAAAATAATCTTGCGATACAACATACACCCATAGGAACCCAACGAGCAGCAATTGAAGGTCATAAAAGCTGAACACTAATGCTAAGCCTACATTCTTAAAATCTCAGTCAAGAAGTACTTCTCACTGTGTTTTTGTCTCTCACGCGTAAAACCACGTTATTTTGTTTGTTAAACCTTTGAGCTTGGGCCAGAATAAGTTACACTTGGTCACATAACTCTTGAGGAGGAGGAAAAAAGGCAACAATTCTTCTTTCTCAAAGTCACAAGATGAACACTGAAGGAGTTTCTGTGTCTTTTTTCCCCCTCCTCCCCAAAATAAATAAGAATCAATGTTGCCTCTACACAATTATTAAACAGAAGATATATCTAACAGCTTATTTTTTAAATATATATATATGTATATATAAATAACCAAAAAAAAAAAAAAAAAAAGAACTTTATAAAAATATCTTGCAGTAATTTTTAAAGTTTATAGTAGCTTCGTGATTAAGTCTCCCATTGCCCTGACTCCACCTTGTCTTGCTCAGATGAATTTAAGTGCCAGTGATTTGCACACACACACACACAGGAAATAAAACCCAAGATAAGTCTCTTTTCTTCCTCCTCTTCATCTTCTTTTTTTTTTTTTGTAGAAAAAAAATCACCAAGCCAACAAATGAAATCAATAACTTAAAGAAATAATACTGATATCAATGCAGCACTAGCAACACAACAATTGCATCTAAATGCAGGGTGTGGTGGAGGATCCAGCTGGTGGAAGAAGGTCCCAGCGCCACGGTGACACAGTGGCAGGGAGTTGACAGATGGGGAGGAAGGTGTCCAAGGAGGAGCAGCAGTAGCAGCAGCGGCAACTGTGCCTGGTGGTGGGAGAGACAGTCCTTGGCAGAATCTTGTCCCCCTTCTTTGCTACCAGAAGTTGCCTTTTCCCTAAGTTTTAATGTTTGTTTGTATGTGTTTGTTCATTTAACCCCCTCTCCCTGCTAAGTTTATACCTTTCCCCTTCCAGCAGGTCAAAAAGCAAAATGATACAGTTAAAAAAAAAAAAGAAAAAACTTTTATATATGTATATATATATATGTATATATGTATACTTATACATAAATATAAATATATATATATGTATATATAAGAAAAGGGGGAAAAAGAAAAGGAAAAAGTGGTGGGGAGAAAAAGAAGTTTGTGAAAATCCTGTGATGAAGCTCCCCAATATTGTCTTGGTTCAACGCTTAGTTTTGAGTTGCTCCCAGCTGGTTTCTGATGAGAATGCGCTCTGGGTTCACGAACACTGCGCTCCCGCTACACCCATCTCCTTGCCCCGCACCCTTTCCCATCAGGCTGAGGTCATTTGGAATTTGCCACGGGCAGAGGTTTCACTCCAACCATTTGCAACCTCCTCTCAGCCCCGACTGTGCAATCCAATAACTGAGCAGAGATCTCTCTTGTGGAACACCAAAAAACAAAAAAAAGAGAAAAAAGGAAAAAAAAAAGTGCACTGGGGAGATGTCTGGGGAGAAGTGGGGGAGAAACCCACTTCCTGAAGGGAGAGGGGAGGCTGGGAACCTCAAACAGGACTGGTCCTTGGACAGTCTACATCGGTTGCCTTCCGTCAACAAGTGTCCGCAGAGCACAGAAGGTGAAGCCGTGGCTGACATGTTAACTTTTCGGGATAATTCCTGGTAGCAGAGCGGAAACAAGTGGTGTCGTCAGAAACACAGAGAGAGCATGAACAGAACAAGAAACAAAACAAAACAAAAACAAAACAAAAATAATAATAATAATAAAAAACCCAAAAAATCAGGAAGGAGGAAAAAAAAGAAAAGCACTCAAAAAAAGGGAGGAAAAAAAAAAAACAATCAAAAAACACAACCCAAGATCTGGCGAACTGGGTTTGTCATCTGTGCTACCTTTTCTTTCTTTTCATTCTTTCGTTCGTTTTTGTGTTTGTTTCTGAGATATATATTATATATCATATATAAATATATATATGTATATATATACAGTCATTCCTTCATACAAAATTTGTCTATAGACAGTTTTGTACTGTTGTGGCAAGGTATATACATCCTTCTAGTTTAGAGACTAGCTTACTAAGGAATATTCTTTCATTCTTTCTTGCTTTTTTGTTTTTTTGTTTTTGTTTTTGTTCTCTAAGTTTTTTTTTTATGTGTTTATTTAAGGTTGGTCTTGTAGGCCGACTGATGAGACCATCTTTGCCTTGTCTTTGCCAGCAGGGTACTTATTGTCTCCTCTAGACCCATAGTCATTAGAACCGGAATCGCTCCGCTTGCTGTTTGCGCTATGCTTGGTTGGCGTGCCGGGGGGATGGCTCACCTGCCCGTTCTTCTCGTCTGAAAAAAGTTGTTTAATTACGTCAAAGAAGTTACTCAATGGGCTGCCTGGGTACACAAAACAGAGGAGACAAAAAAAGAAAGAAAAAAAGAAAAAAAAAAAAAAGGAGAGGGAAAGAAAGAGAAAAAGAGGAGAGAAAGAGAACAAACAAACAAATGAACAATGGGGTTTTTAACGAGAAGAACATGATGAGGAGATCCAGAGCCACGTGCGTGGGGGTTTGTGGGGGATGAAGACAATGAGCAGGAAGAGGAAGAGTGTTCAGGATGGGACACCTACAGAAATAAAGAGGCTGGCAGCATAAAACACCAAGGGGGAAGGTCCTAGTTTTCTCCTGAGGGGATGGGCACAACTGTCTCACCTAGCAGGAGCACAAAGTGACGCGTTGCTGAAATACTTCTATTACCTGATGTCACCTGGCAACTCAGCACTGAAAGGTCAGTGAATAACCCTGGAAACAAGCAAATCCCATGTTATTGCTTCAGTTACAAACAGGGAATTCGTATGCTGTCACCAAATGATGCTTTGCAGCCTTGCTAAGGCATTACGCTTTCCTTGCTTGTGTTGGGATTCTTTCTGAACATCTCCTTGCTCACGCTCAGCCTCTAAACCTGAAGCACTTGAGTGCTCCAAGTGAAAAGATTCAAAAAAAGAGCTATGGCTGACGAGATGACCTCCAAATGCATGCTGGTTTGAAGCTTGAGCTTACGAGCCTCTAAGCACCTTGAGATCCTCCTTACAATGACACATCTGGAAATGAAGATGCTGACTGCTTTGTAGAAGCAGGCTGTTAGGCATGTAACTATTTCTGGGAACTACCATGGCCAAGAACTACTTCCTTGTTGCCCTGAATTTATGTTCTGTCTTTACAACATAGGCTCTGTGATACTGATGTTAATTACACTGCAGTCAGGAGCCACAGAGGGATGTAGGGCTGCATGCTAACAGAGCAGCTATCTCATAGAGCTAGTCACTGCAGCAGGCAGCACTATTAACATGGTTTGGGCACTGTAGACATGTGAGAATATCACCTTCCATGCGACTCTGAAAAATCTCTTTGTCCACAATTTCATCTTCTGATCAAACCCAAGATTCACTTTAGCATTTGCTGCTGTGGAGCACGACCTACCACAGACCCAGCTCCAGGGACCAAAGGGACTGAAAACAGTGAGTTTCAAGAAGAGACCTCGGAAGGTGTGCATCTGAGACCTCTCTCAGTTTACAAGACAGAAATATTATCTAAGGAGCTCTGATGTGCTTGCCTAGCAGCTACATGCTTGGTTAGACTTGGTCAGTATTACACAACTCCAAGATGGTTACATAAAACACCTGAGCTGGTGAGGGTCAGACAAAATACCATTTAATCCCCTCCTGCCAGGATGAGTCCGATGCATTAAAGATCCAGTTGTGTCTCAGCGTGAGTGGTACCAACTCAGAAACAGCCCACAGAGGTTTTGTGACACACAGCAGCTCAGGCTGGGCCTGCCAAGTCTCACCCACAAGTCTCACCTCATGTAGCAGGTTCTTTCCCTCAGCTGTAGTGGGAACCCCTCTGTGCAACTATATTTCTGGGCCGCCGAGCAGCAGAGGCAATGCAGTGTTCCATTGTTCGAACTAATTCCTATTAGGTCATTACACACACTTAAATAAATTAATTCTCCAGCTCCTGGAAAGAAAGAGGGTCACTGATTTCTGCCTTGCAAGGCCTTAGTATGCTATTAAGAGAGTGAAACCTTTCAGCTCTGAGATGGCAACAGTCAGGAGCAAAGGGATTTCTTCATAGTAAAGATCACCATTTATCCATAGTCAATGGACACTGGTGGCTCAGTAATATTATATTCTGCCTCATCTTTATTACAAAACGCCTAAGAAAATCAAACAAGTATTGTCTATGTGTGGTGTGTGAAGAATGTCTTATCCTCTAATGGACATTAGGTGGACATTAGTTGCTTTTACACAACGAAAGAAGAAATACCTAGGATTTGTGCCCTGCAAAACTGCATGTGTTGCCCCATGCTGAGCAGGCAATTGCAGTTGCTAGTTTCCTCTGCATGATAACAGGCATTGAGAAAAATCAAGCAGCTGGTATGGAGCGAAAGATCGCTCCCATTCATTCCTTCTCTCCCTCTGCTTGCTGCTTTGTGTTTAACCTGCTGCTGGCCCTGGTTCTGGTTCTGTGTGTGCATTTAGTTACAGCAATGCCACAAGCATTGGTGCATTTGTTTCTGGAGGAGCATCGCTCAGCTAACTCAAGCCTTAGAAATGGACCCAAACAAACAGCCAGGTAAGACATGCACCTCAATTTGCAGCTAAGCTGGGAAGAGCTGTGACACTCAGTCATCTCTGAGTCAGAGCTCTGTGATCTCCTATCGCCTCCCTCCCACACATGCTATGGAAAGGAGTATCTGTTTCAGATCTTTGACTTCTAATTCAGAATCCTCTGTAAGACTCCCTATAAATCTGAGAGACTTAAGGGCATGAGTTCTGCTCAGACTCTATTCTTTTCAGGTGGATACTCTCTTTCAATGAAAAAAAAAAAGAAGCATAACACTCAACCTTGAATGTAGGAATGTGGAAGTATCTGGGTTTTATGTGGCTTTGGACCTCTCATCTTCATAAGCAAATGGAGTCAGCAGAGAGAATGAAAAAAGAGCACTGAAAAAAATGCTGGAGAGGGAAAGACTGCCAGGTTGGGAGAAAAGGGGAGGGAAGGATCTCTAGATATTCAGCTGAGCAGTTTGTTCAACAAGCTTAGCGGGAAAGAAGAGGGCAGAGTAAGCAGCGCTCTGCAGGAATTGGGGAACTCTTAGTTTTTGCATAGACAGAAATAGCAGACAAAAATACAATTTACAGGAATGGAGTAGTAAAACATTTTATAAATTGTATGTATGTGTCCTGCATGTGATGAATCTTGATATAGGATTTTTAATCATCCTATTAAAATATGTAGCTCCTGTTCCATCCAGCCTTTCTCCTCCCCATGCCCTATTGGCTTTGGAGTGCCTGGAGAATTATTGCAGAAAGAGTATTTAACAGTCTGCTTTTCCTTTGCATATACCTCTACTGGATTCCTTACAATCAGCATTTTCAGGTAAAAATTTAATGGAAGGTAAAAAAATCCTTAGAGATATTAAAAGAGAGCTACTGGAAAATAAAATAGGCCATTTCACTAACCCTTTCCTTCCTTTGCCTTTTATAGTAACTGGACTTTCAATTAAAAACGCAGGAATACTCTCTTAGCCTGCAGTCAACAGAGAACTGATCCTATGCTGAGCCATATAGACAATCACCATGTCAACGATAGCTCCACAACTATCATAACTGTTAGCCCACACTTGGGCTAGTCTAGATATTAGTCTTTGAACGAACAAAGAATCCTCCTATTGCTCTCTGGGGATATATAAACATGGCTCAACTATGCTGGAAACAAGAAAATGGTGAGTGGTGTCGTTCCTCTCAGTGTTCAGCTCCCTTTGGGTTATATGCCCAGCAAAACAAGACTTGAAAATGCAGGTGAAGATGGAACGCACTGGCTATTGCAGCAATCTTCCTTCCCTCGCAGTCAGCGCAAAGTCGGTGACAGGCTGTTAGACCTGCCAAGCCACCTGGGGGGACTCCCAAAGGGCACCTCTCCTAGTTCGGAAAGTGAGGTGAGATCCTACTTCCTCTGCACAAGGATGAAAGTCTAGTTCACTAATTCTTCAGAATTTCCCTGAATTCCCACAGAATTTTGTATTTCATGCATCTGTAACTAAGGTCATCTTGCCACTGGAGAGCAAACATTTGTTGACATAGAGCAATGAAGGTATGAAGGGCAGTAAGGGTGAGAAATCATGAGAAGGATCAGAGGCAGGGGGTGAGGTTCAGGTTTATACCTTGTAGAAGATGTGCATTTCTCAATTAGACCAAGGAGCTGAGTGTTGCAAGGCCACTGGGAAGGGAAATGAGCTCGAAAATAAGCACTTGAAGCTTACAAAAGGATCATGAACTGATGGGATACTAAAGGAATATATTTGTGGAGGAGGCACTGGTTTATGGCATTGGTGTGCTACCCTATCATGTTCAAATATCGCAAAAGAAATCGGGCACGCATATGAATACAACAAGCACTGAAAGGGAAGAATAGGGCTAGGAACAGACATAAAGAGGTGAAAGGAAACTGGGCAGACAACTTCATTAGCCCTCCATACTACCGCTCCCGCTCCTAGGATGTATGATACGGACTAAGCATCCTGGTATCACAGGTACTAGGAGCCAAAGCTGACCCACTTAAAGAGATGAAAGAAAAAATGAGGTGGTAGCACCAAGAAAGTCCACGTCTGGCTCTGGCCTTGCATAGCACAGACCTCTCCAGGAAGCTAATGGGAGGTGGCAAACAAGCAGCTTCAGGACACGCTTGGAGGCTTCACTTACTGATTCGAGCCTGCTGCTTCATAATATTTTAAGATAGTCAGATAAAGGCTAGATCCTGTTTTTGTTGAAGCAATGTGTAACATTCCCATTGACTTAATAGAAGCAAATCCTGAGGCACTTCCTTGTCCTGTGAAACTATCTCTTTCAAGTCTATGCATTTTTAATCCACTGCTCCTTGCGGTGCTGAACACAAAGCTGTACAAAGCAAATATGCTTTCTGTAGGATTATCCCCCAGCTTTCCCTTTGGTCCAGTCTGAGAAACTTTGCTTCTCTACATCTTTACCGTAGGCTTTGGAAAAAGTAAATGGAAAAAGATATAGCTCCATGAAAACAGAGAGACCCTCTGTCAAATTAACTTCTTAACACTCCTTTTCTAGATCTGGTTTTCTTGTCCTTTCAGACTGCCTTCAGCCTATCTGTGCTACCGAGGTTTTCTTCCTCTGCTCATTTTTTTTCTCTTTATTCCCTTATTTTTTATTCCTAACTTGTTCTGTATTTCCACAGCAGCTGTGGTTTCAGTGAATCATGTGGCAAAAATCCAACGCCTAGCACATAAAGTATCAAAACACTCTCTGATGGGAGATA